AATATAATGCTGGCATATGGGCAGTCTTTCCTTAACTATGTCAACTGGGTGACGGAATTTTCATCGTGAAGCCATTCAGACCTAAAGCACAATATCATGTGACTGTGCTGTTTAGTGACAGCATTTCTGTTTGCCATCATTAAGTGAATCGTGTTGATATCCAGTAGCAACGTGGTGTTAGGAGCCTTTATTAAGACTTCCAAGCCTGCATTATATTCCAGCATCAGCTCAACCCCAATGAGTTCCACAGGCTACTCAAAAGAATCCAACATTAGTCCTCAAGGCAAGTCCCATTTACTAGACAAAAGGAAGACCCCAAGACAAAGGCAAGGACAAGGCTGAGTTAAATCATTACTTTCGGATGCAGCTTATCAAGGGGGCTGAGACTGCCTCCTTGCCTCCTGGCTGACCCTCTTTGTGCCTGCTCCTCTCAGCTCTGTACTCTGAGATCTGGAAGAGGAGATAGTTCTTCTTCATCTCCACTGAGCAAGTGCAGCTGTGTGTCCTCTCCACCCTAAGCCTCTGGGCTTCCCAGCTGCAGCTGGGTCTCTCCTGTCTCTAGCTCAATGGCTGTTTGTCTGGTTGCTTCCTTGTGCTCAGTCCTTTCATTCAGCTACAAGCTCATCCTCCTCTGAACTAGCATCTGGAGTAGTGTCTGGGGAAGCGTCTAGGGAATCATCACACTTCCTGCTGGCTTCCCCATTGACTTTACTTGTTGGAAGCCAGCAGTGAAGGTCACAAATGGTGATCACCTGACCACAGGAAACACTGACTGCCATAATTGCAAGGATCAGTCACAAGTTCTATCCGTTCAGCACTGTTGCAAGTTCAAATGACTGTGGAACAAGTTGTCTTTAAGTACAGTCTGTCAGTACACATTTCCCACCTCACCATAGTGAGGGTGTTTGGAACTTGGACAAGAGAGGGTTATAGGCTGCTGTGGGAGAAATTCAAGGTCATTGTAAAAAAGAAAAAAAATACATGAATATTTTAGGAAAAATACTTATTTCTCCATGAATCCTATTTCCTAAACAACAATCTTAAAACATGGGTGATATATACTGGATCAACATCTTCATGATGCTGCCCTTCATAAGGTCCCAGTCATTGCTGCTCAGCAATTTGAAATCTGTTTACTGTGGTTCAGATAGTCCTTGACTTACAAACACAATTGGAACCACAACTTTTCTTACTAAGTGAAGTGGTTGTTAATTGAGCCAGGTGTGATTTAATGACCTTTTCTGACATGGCAGTTAGATTGTCTCAAAAATCTTCAAAACATAAGTGTGATAAGTTTGGATCAGCTCCTTTACCAGATTCTGGGTTCTCAGAATTTTGCAATCCATTTACTGGGATATAAATAAATATAGTTACAAATATTGGATAATACTGTAGAAAAACACTTGGTTCTTTTATAGCCAAGTGTTTTCCTGAGTAGCAATGGGTTTAAGGATAAACAGGTCTTATCCCATCTTCAAAGCAGAACCAACATCCCAGCATCATCCAACAGCTTGTTCACTCCTTTGTCTGCTATTTCCTTCTCTTTCT